ACGGAAAGATTGGACAAAGCTCCGGAGTCTGGAGTCTGGACGACGGAAGTCTCAAGCCCTTAACTCGTCCGATCAGTCTACTTTTTTCATTTTTTCTGGTTCATTTAATTTCTAATTCTTGTGAATTTATGAATTATTGAATTGTTGAATTATTTTTTTGAATTGTTAAATGATTGTAATATGCTTATTTTCTGATTTTATGATTTCATGTTTGTTGAATTGTTGCACCGTTGTTATTTGTTGATTTTTTGCACTTAAAATAAACCATTATTTGATTTGATAATAAATGTGTAAATGTGTTTAGCAATTAAAATTTAAGAAAGTGGTATAAATATATTATTAGGTAACTTCAGGTTGATAAATTATAATTATACCAGTATAGTCTTTCATGTTTTCACCATAGTTTTAAACTGAATATTAATTTAAACTTTATAAACATGTACAAGATTAGAGGAGAATTTCAATAATTGGTAGTAATTATGTTTCCATATAAATTACAATCTGCTCATGACAAGCGTCAAAGGAAAAGAATTTCAATAATTGGTAGTAATAACGTTTCCATAGAATCTGAAACACTCGAAGAGATTGACATTGGAAGTTTGGTAGATGACTTTGCATCTAAATATTCTCGAAGAATGTCTCTTTTTAAATAATCTGTAAGTTATTAATGACTATTTTTATTTTTATCATTACGTTTATTAGTAACTTGTATTTTAAGACAATTTGCTTGTGTTCAACTTGAAAAAAGGTCCAAATTTTAGTTTTGCACAATGTCTCCGTTTTCTCGGGACCGACCCCGGTTATAACTTTAAGCAATAATAATGATAAAGTTAATAATTCTGAGATTTGTTTTAAAAATGAAATAAAAATATTGATGTAATAAGACGTCTAAAATGAGGAAGTTAGAACATTGAAAGGAGCACAAATTAGTGTTAGTTTGGGAAAAAACTCTAATGACTTACTGAATTAAGCTTTAATTAATCATATATAAGCAATGAAAATAATTTAAACTTAAGGAAGTGTTCGACGTATGAGTGAGACATGCATATATAAAGTTTTAAGGCTAGCTAGGGAATTTTATGATCTTTTTTATTATGTATAATTCCATAATAAATAAATGAATCACTTTTGTTTTCAAGTATAACTATCTACCGAGGCTATTAGTTCTATATTTGAACAAAAAAACAAAAAATACCCAATAAAATAATTAAATAATAAAATACGTACTATAAAATTATATATGAACACCATTTAACAAATCCACAAAAATGTACACAATTGCGCGCAAAACAAAATAGATACTACAAATATCACACACAGAATAACACAATAAACATTAATTAGTAAGAAAATGAATTCCTAAAACTGTAAAAATTGAATATCTATAGTTAATATTTACCTGTTGGGGTTGTGCATGTCAAAAATTGGATTCTTTTAATGATTTACAAATTTTGTATATACAAATTTATCTCAAAAATATATAAAGTATTAAAAGATGAGTATTTTTCAATTATATTAGTAAAATAAAACTTATATACACAAATATGACTAATAGTTACAATAATATATTGTTATAATCACCTAAGTTTAAAAATTCAACATAAGTTACTGCTAAAATAAATCTGTCATGTTTTATTTCCTAAATATGATAATGAATGTCAAGTTTGAAAAATACTGCAATTAAAACATAAAAATTCTATTTTGGAATTTTGAGACGTTTTTAATCCTTATTGGAACGATTTCCGTTTAAATTATTACAGAATTTACTCATTTTTTTATAAATAATCTTTGTCTTAATTATAAATATATAATCATTTCTTAAATGATTACGCCTAAAAGCAAAAATTGTTGGGCCTAAAAAAATTTAACTCATACAGTCATATTGTCATACCTTCTCCTCATAACCTCGACTACCTAATGCTGATATTCCTTCTCCTCATAACCTCGACCACCTCGGAAGATTTGCGTGTAAGAGATCCAACATTCCATGTCCCAAAACGCAATCTAGCACTCCACCTTCTGTTCTTGGCCTCATCTTGGTGGGGTCCGAGATGGGGCTAAGAACAGAAGGTGGAGTGCTAGATTGCGTTTTGGGACATGAAATGTTGGGTCTCTTACAGGCAAATCTTCCGAGGTGGTCGAGGTTATGAGGAGAAGGAATATTAGCATTATGTGTGTGCAAGAAACTAAATGGGTTGGAGAGAAAGCACGCGAGATTAATCCCGAAGGTTTTAAGTTATGGTATTGGGGAGAGATAAGACCAGAAATGGGGTAAGCATTATTGTGGCGTGTGACTATGTTGAGGATGTGGTAGAAGTCTTCAGGAAGAACGATCGCATCATGAGCATTAAATTGGTGATAAGGGGTGAGATTGTGTCTGTGGTAAGTGCCTATGCACCACAAGTGGGATTGGATGCATCTACAACTCAACAGTTCTGGGAAGATCTTGAAGACGTGGTGCGATGAGTGCCTAGGGGAGAGAAGTTGATCATAGGAGGTGACCTCAACGGACATGTGGGCTCGAGTCGTGATGGCTTTGAGAGTATTCATGGCGGACATGGTTTTGGCACTAGGAATGAGGCGGGAAAGAACATTTTGGATTTTGCCTTGACGTATGAGTTGACTATAATGAACACTTGGTTTAAGAAAAGAGACTCTCACCTTGTAACCTATAAAAGTGGAGCTAATAGTACCCAAATTGACTACTTCTTAGTACGAACCACTTGGAAAACTAGCTACACTGATCGTAAGGTTATTCCAGGCGAGAGTGTTGTCACTCAGCATAGGATGCTTGTGCTTGACTTTCGAGGTAAGAACCATAGAAGACAAGTTAAACAACAAGTGGAGCCAAAGATAAAGTGGTGGAGGCTTGAGGGAGATCTTCAACAAAGCTTTACACACAAAATGGTCGGTGAAGATGTATACCGTATTGATAATGAAACACATGTGGATGATGTATGTTTATCAATGGAGTTGACCATTAACAAAGTGGCAAAGGTGGTACTTGGAGAATCTAAAGGATGTCTTCCACCTAAAAAGGAAACATACAAGGAAGCTAAAAGACAAGCAAAGAAAGCCGTAAGGGAAGCACGAGGGAAAGTGAACAAGAAGTTGTATGAAAAGTTGGGCTCTAAGGAAGGAGAACTAGATATTTATAGACTTGATCGTCTTCGTGATCGCATGACTCAAGATATTGCAAAAGTTAAGTGTGTGAAGGATGTCGATCAGAGAATATTAATGGACTACGGAGAGATAAAAGAGAGGTAGATGTCATACTTTGATACACTATTCAACGGGAACAAAACGCAAGATATCAGTGATTTGTCCATACCAGATTGTATGGTAAATCGTGATTTTGTGAGAAGGATCCGAACAACGGAAGTTAAAGAAACTCTGAAGAAGATGGGACGGAAGAAAGCAATGGGGCCAGATGGCATACCAATCGAGGCTTGGAGAAGTTTGGGAGAGAGACGCGTCGAGTGGTTAACATGTTTCTTCAACATGATTTGGAGAAACAACAAGATGCCAACGAGTTGGAGGAAGAGTACTCTTATCCCCTTATTTAAGAATAAAGGTGATGTACAAGAATGTGCCAACTATCGAGGGATTAAGCTTATGAGTTACACCATGAAACTTTGGGAGCGAGTGATTGAGAAAAGACTTCGCAGAACTGTGAAGATTTCCGAGAATCAATTCGGTTTTATGCCTGGTCGCTCAACAACTGAGGCCATTCACCTTCTTCGGCAACTTATGGAGAAGTATAGAGACGCGCATAAGGATCTGCATTTGGTGTTCATTGACTTAGAAAAGGCATATGATAGGGTACCTCGAGAAGTTCTTTGGTGTGCCTTAACTAGGAAAGGCATATCACGCAAGTATATCAGCATCATCATGAATATGTATGAGGATTGTACTACGAGTGTCCGTACTAGTGTAGGGAGGACTGAAGAGTTCCCTATTACTATCGGAGTGCACCAAGGATCGGCCTTGAGCCCTTTCTTATTTACCATAGTCATGGATGAACTTACGAAGTCGATTCAAGACGATATACCGTGGTGCATGATGTTTGCCGACGATATTGTATTGATTGATGAGACGCAATCAGGTCTTAAAGCAAAGTTGGAGGTATGGTGACAAACATTGGAGAATAAGGGTTTCAAACTAAGTCGGAGCAAGACAGAGTACATGGAGTGTAAGTTTGGTGGAGGTAGAAGCAGTGGTAATAGCGGAATTACTCTGGATGGTAAGGAGATACCAGTCAGCGATATGTTCCGTTACTTGGGCTCCATAATTCAGAAGGACGGTGAGTTAGATGGAGATGTATCTCATTGAATCAGAACAGGGTGGATGAAGTGGAACAGTGCGTCAGGATTTCTATGCAACTGAGGTACGCCGACTAGACTGAAGGGTAAACTTTATAGGACAACAATTAAGCCTGCATTACTGTATGGCGTAGAGTGTTGGGCGGTGAAACAATGTCACATTCAAAAGATGAGTGTGACAGAGATGCGCATGCTGCGTTGGATGTGTGGGCATACTAGGAAGGACCGCGTGAGGAATGAGACAATCAGACAAAGGGTGGGAGTAGCACCTATTGAAGACAAGATGCGGGAGTCGCGCCTACGGTGGTTTGGTCATGTGCGTAGAAGACCGAGTGATGCACCTGTCAGACGAGTTGAGATGTGTGGAAAAGAGGCAGGGAAGAGAGGGACAGGAAGTCCCAAACAGACGTGAGTTAGGGGAGTTCGAAGTGATATGCTTCTTCTGGGGCTGGATGAGGGCATGACTTTGGAGAAAAATAATTGAAGGACGGATATTCACGTGAAGCAGTGATCTCGTATAATCTTTTTCCCTCATCTTTTTTTCTTGTTTTTTATCCTTATATATATAAGTATTATTTGTAGTCTTTTTATTTTATATCCTTTTTATATTATATTTTTATAATAGTTTATCGTTTTTATGTTTATTTTCTTTCTTTTCCTTTTGATCTTTGGTTGTATATCGGATTCAAGTTAGCCTACCCAATAGTGTCATACCCCAGCTGATGTTACTTTCACAGCTTATCCACTGAATTCCATCTCGTTTTTCTCATAATTGCCCAACCGTTAATTTATTTGCTGAAAAACGCACGGTAAAACGGTTAGGATCAATGGTGAGAGCTCGGTTGTTGGTGTTTCCGATCAGAGGCAGGAATTGGTGCTTCAGCCGCTCAGTTGACCCGTCCGCATGCAAAGCACAAGCGGCCAACACTCCATCGACGCTCAATGAGCTCTGGAACAGGATCTCCAAGCCCACGGACAAGCCTTATGGGTCTAAGCTTGAACTTCTAATCGATTTCGCCACGAATAAGGTTTGTATCTTATACTTCAGCTCATCATTGTTGTTTGGATGTACATTTGATGGTTATATATTGTACGAGTTATGCGTGCTAATGCGCTTAGTGTTTGTTTTCAGATGAGCAACCAGTGGAGCAATTTGGAAAAGGCACCTGCTGGAAGTTTTAAGAGCAAAATTCACGGGTGAGATTGAGCTGTGATTTGCTTTTGTTTGGTATTCTTGATCCTGTAATTGCTACTATTGATGAATTCACATTTCTTGTCATTAGGTTAGGGTTGCGGCTTTTGTCTACTGTTAAACCTTCTGAGATCTTCTTAAAGTCCATTTCGAAGGAGGTCGATAAAGTAGAAATCACATATCCATCTAGGTAAAGTTCCTTTTGAACTATGTGTTTTTAATCTATCCAGACCCAACATTTGCTTCAGACATGAGTATTAACAAAATAGTATTATGTGGTTGGGATTTATTTAGAAAACAAGGAGAACCTCACATAGTTTTGGGACATAGAGGCTTACAGCCCGTTTGGTAACACTAAGATTGGATGAATCAGATGAATCTGCTGAAATTGATGAAGTTCTTATTGAAGCAGCTGAATCTGCTGAATTAGGGGAAAAAATATTTAAAATATATTTTATTAAGAAAATAAAGAAATAATTATATGGAAAAATAGCTAAAATTGTCCAATTCATCTCAAACAGTAACTTCAACCTTACTTATTTTGATTATGATACAATACAAACCGTGAAATAAAAACTTACGTGTTTTGTGAAAAAATTGGCTGATAAGACTCATAAGTCGAAAAACATGATCGCCAAGTGAGCCCTTAATGGTTTTGTTCAGTTTTATTTTCTTTGGTTTGGTTTTTTGGGCAGTGATAGGCATTAGACCAACAGTGTGTGCAGTGTTTAGTAGACTAGTAGTTTTGTTTACAAAAATATGTTCCCTCCAACATTTCCTTGGCTTAGTTAGTTTCACTTGAATGGATGCACATGCTGAAATGGAGGAGGTATTTTTACCTTTAAGACTAGATGGAAGATGCTACAGTTCCAATGTTTTCCAAAACAATTCCATGTTTTGAAGTTGCATTGTAACTTGTAATGATAGGAAATTTACGCTGAATTTAGCATGAACAATTGAACTTCAAACTCCCAAGTACAAAAGTGTAACATTTAGATTATTAGTATATCTTGTTGTCATTGATATGGCTTATGCTAATTACACATATACTTCGCATGTTTTAAAATCTACAGTTTAAATGACCGACTAGTTCGTCGAAGGCTAAGACACATTGCCTTCCGGTAATGTGAAATGACTTACTTGTCTTCTTATTCGTACTATTTTGTTGAATCATAATACCATGATGATTGCTAAGTATTCATTAGTGCTTTTTAAAAAATCTTTTTATTAAACTGAACTGTTAGGGGAGCGGTTATTCACAAGAAGTACTTGTATGGATCAACTGTTTTGCTTCCATTGACATCGGTCTTCATGGTATTGTTGTAATTACATGTTTGGAATTTCTGGAAATTCTTTTCTTTTGTTTAGGTCATGTTATTATTCTAACATTCCCAATTGAATGTTTAAGCACATCAACAGTTTTCTGCATTTTCATTTATTGTAGGTGCTACCCTTGCCTAACATTCCTTTCTTTTGGATCTTGTTCCGTACCTACTCTCACTGGAGAGCTTTGAAGGTGAGCACATTCAATTAACAATGGTGACAGCTGACCAGTGAAACCTAATGAACTTGATGTGTTAGGAATAGGAATGGCCAGTTTGGGCTTAGTTTGGTTTGGTCTCGATCAGTCTATTTGTTTGTTTTTAACTAAGATTTTGTAGTGTTTTTGTTGTTCAGTTTGGTTTTAATTGGTTTCCATTCAGATTACTACAGTTTATGAAAAGCATCACCAAACTAAAGGTCATATGGTTCGGATTAATTCTGTTTGGTTAACCTAAACCGAAATTTCAACCCCTTGTTAGGAAGGTTTTAATGTGACGAAATATCTTGTTAACGACTTATAGTTGTAGCCTATTAGCCTTATTGTCTAAAGCTTTGAGTTGTCCTCAATAAACTGATACCAATTGCTCTAGTAATTTATCTCAGCCCCAAATTTATTTACTTTTGGCATGTCTAGAAGCTACCACTGAAACTTAATATTTAAACCTGTTGTAATTTCCCTTTCTGATAGAAGTGGATTGGTTGTTTTTTCAGGGAAGTGAAAATCTTCTCCAATTAGTTACAGATTATGCTGGAAAACAACATTCCAATGAAAACACAGCGCTTGAGACAAGAATTAAGAAAGCTGATTCAAATGAAAACTGCAATGCCCTAAGCTCTTCATGGGTATGAATTTTCTATTGAATCTGCATATAACTTCAGATCGAAATGCAGGCCTGAACTCCCTGAATTTTACCACTCCTCTAATCTTGCATCTGACTTAAGATCCTTTTTTATATTCTCATATTTCACTAATTTTCTTTTCAGTACTTCAAGTGCAACAATATTAGTTTGCTTGCAGTTAATTATGACTGTATAAAGTGGGCATAATCTTATTATTGGCATGCAAGTATATACTTTTTCCCTTTAGGTAACATTTTAATAGGAAGTATCAAGGACAATGGTGGAGAATAACGTAGGTGAAGTAAACTAAATCTTGGGTAAGGAATATCACACCAAAGCTGAAAACATTAAAGTTCCATCACTCTTAATGCCATTTTGAAAAGGTTAAGAAACAAACCAAATGAAGCCATCGAGAAAATAGGTTAAACTATAGTGGAGAACTTAACAACTGAAACACCACTGTAGTAATCTTGCCAAGTGATTATAATCCATCTTATCATGTAAAAGAATCGAAACAAATTCTTCCAAATATGAAATTGTCCGTAGAATTTCATTCAAAGTTTCCAAGTTGGACAATATACATAAAAAGTGCACCATTCATCCCAAAAAAGAGTTTTATTTCATCCAAGAGTTTTATATCATCAGCTTATGTTTCATTTTTGTTACTTTATCCTCCTACTAGTAGTGTTTGCATTTATTTAAGTGTGAAACTAAAGTTAGCATATTTTTCTTGGAACATTGCCTCTTTTGTTGAAACGTGACCTTTGTTGGGAAAAAATAAGTTTTGGAACATTAATCCTTTTTTGGACGGATCACGGATGGGGTATGATGTACCAACACCGAGGAATGCTTCTTAACCTCTCAGTGTCCTTACTATTGCTTTCTAGTGGTGTGTTAGAGCTTGTTTAGGATGACATGTGGCTACAAGTCGTTTCATAAGAAGTGCTTTCTCATTTAAGCACTAAAGGAGTTTATTTTTCTTTTGAAAAAGCTCCATTCAAATGCTTTCTTAAATAAGCAGAAGAAATTTATTTTCCCAAAGAATTAAAAGCACTTCTTTCATCACCTTGACAACACCCTTAGAAAAACTTTTCCTATAAAAGCATGTTTTGTTTGAAAATAGGTCACAACAAATGTGATCCTAGTTATTGTTTGTAGAAGTACATGATTTTTCATCATTGATGGTAGGAAAGTCCTTAACGAACTCTATTTGTGGTATGAACAGGTTTTAATCCCGTCGGAGGAACTCCAGAAACTTCTTAACCAAAGTAATACAACAGATGGTCTAAGTGAAAGCACACTATCTGCAATATGCCAAAGATATAATTTGAACTTGATTGATGTTGTTAAGTACCGGAGTTCACTTTAGGTTGGATGTGTTTCTATTGATAGCGGCTCTAGGTTTCATATCGGTTTTCTGAGTACACCTTGTTGTCTCTTTAGATGTTTTTGGCTGAGAGCTCAAAGAAGAACAATGCATTTCTTACAAATAATGCTTTTTGCAGTTAGCATCAGGTCATTGGCTCCAGCAAGTTTATCTGTTTGTGTTCAACAGATTCAATAGTTGCTTTTTGCGAATGGCTTAACTCCTAATAATTGATAGCAGTTTGGTAATTCGTAATATCTAAGGATTCTAAGGTTTAGATATGTAACAAATGAATCAAAAGTACAATTACACTCCAAACATAAAATTTGAAATTCATAGAAGTTTGTACTCAAAATCAAGGAGTTAAGCGTAAATGTAGTGACCAAACTTTGTTTACTTTTTCGTAAACAATTAGGACTTTGTTTACTATTTTATTTTGGTATTGAGGACTCCAACAATTTCTATCCAATTTCATTTGCAAACATTTTGTATATGATAAAAGTGTATACGTAGAGCATATGTACAAGTAAGTGTGGAACAGGTTCCGATCTGTTCCCAGAACAGATCCAGATTTTACGAGTCCTGACCCCATCCCAGATACCCGACTGGTCCTGTGTCCGGTCTCGGGTTGCTGTGGGCGGTTTTGATTTTTTTTATAAAAAATTAGTAATATACTCAACAAATGCTACACATTAAACATGAAGTGTAGATTTATTTGAAACACTAAGGGAATATTTTGTAAATGGCATTTCATCAAAAAATGGCGGTTTGACTACTTTTAGCGTTTTCAATACATGAAAACGTTGTTTAGTAAATATCTGTTCGGCATCGGCGTTTTTGGACGGAATCGCTGAAATGAAAAATGCTGCAAATAGGAGAGCTTTTAATTAGGCTTGGACTCGGGTCGGGCCACCCGGCGCCCGGCCCGCTACTGTGCGGGACCGGGACCGGCCCGGTTCTCGGGTCCGGGTCGGGCCTAGGCCCGGGGGGTAGGGCGGGTCCGGGCTCGGGTCTCAATTTTGGTGAACCGGCCCGGGCCAAATTGAATTATTTTTATTTTTTTTTCATTTTTGGGGTTCCACCCGGGTTGGGCTTGATGGGTAGGGATTAACTATACTTTGCTGGGAAGGGATTAACAGTTCACAGTTCAAAACTTCTTATACGCATTTACTCAATTTAGGCCATTAGTATACAGGCGTAATAACCGGCGATAACAAACAACATAAGCGCATGCCAAATACAATTCAGAGCTGGCTGGGTGATTCTATTTTTTGCCTTGTCGGGTTTCGCAGTAAATTTTTTAACCAAATACGTAACTTTTGATTTCACGGATTGAATTGTTTAATAAAAAGTATGATTGAAGTTACTTTTCTGTCTATATTGGCTAAAGTTACCATAGATAACCATTTTAGCTATTTTTCATACAATTTCTTCTTTATTTTATTAATCAAATATATTTTAAATATAATTTATTCACAAATCACCGGAACCTTGGCAAATACAGGCAATTCAGCCAAAACTCGAATTTTCGCCAGAATCAGCGGGCTCTCATTGTAATGGTGATTATAGATCATCAATGCAGCCAGGTGAATATCAAAACCTAAAGTTTGGGTAGAAAACCCAATCCATTCATCACGCAACGATTCAAATCGGAAAAACAAAAACAAAAGTGCACTAAATACTCCACATCTGAGATTGCGAAAGGAAAGGTTCAGTGGCTGGTGCTAGAGAAGGTAAATACATTGAAATCAACTAGCAACCGCATAACCTGAGGGCGATATGGATAATGGAATTCGGCTGGATGTTGTAATCCGCTAGCGTCCGATCGTCATCCAGTTGCCTTCCTGCGAAGATGAGACGCTGCTGCTCAGGCGGAATGCCTTCCGTATCCTCTATTTGTTCCTTCAATTCACCAACCGTGTCCGATGATTCGACCTCGCAGGGGATGCTCTTCCCCGTCGCGGTCCTAACAGAGATCCGCATCGGCGACGACGACGAGCACGCGCCTCGGCGTCCCTTCCTCCGCACGCTCCTTGAAGCACGCGCTCTGGGGTTGCGCCGCTCAGTATCTGGTGCTCTGCTCTTTCCGGTGGCGATGGCATACACATGAACGGGCTGGGAGAGATCCACCGACTTCAAAAACCACCGCCACGATCGATAATCAGTGAGCGGAATAGAGACGAACACCAATTTCTCTCGGTCCACCTTCGTCGCGTACTTCCCGAACAGACTCAAACTCGTTTCCTCTTCATCGGTGTTCATCGCCGAATGCACTTCCTCCACGAGATCCTCATGATCACTGTCGCGACTCAAGAAACACATCGTTTTTGGCGGATCTGAATAATCCACGGAGCCGAGATATCCCTTCTTTATGATTTCCCCGCCCCAAAACAATAAAACCGCAACTTCCTCCCGATTGCCTGACTTGCCTCCTGCGCTCATTACTGATTAGGAGAAAACCTACAAGTACAAAAGAAAACAAAGAAGATCTAATTATTTAAATGTCCTGCCTGCCATCTTTTCCCTTCAATCGATTTCTAGTTTTCTACTGTGTTAAGGGGAGGAGGAAGACTGGGCTATACCCCTTCAATCGATTTCTAGTTTTCTACTGTGTTAAGCTTCTTTTTGTCGAAATGTGCAATTTTTTGTGTAGTAAAAAAAGGGAGAACTAAGAATTCTTTCACAAAAAGTGCAAATAATTCTTTTATAGGAGTCTCTGTTCGGCCATCGTCATTTGGGTGGTTTCCGGTGGAACTTTTGATGAAATTTTTAGACCACCTTCTTCATTAAGTCTAGTTTACGCATACCAAATTTCAGCTAAGAATTCAATCGTGAAGGTAGTCAAATGAAATTTTGAAAATAACTGCGCAGTTAGGTAGCGCAGTATATTTCAGAAAATCATTTGACTTCCTTCTAGATTGGATTTTTAGCTGAAATTTGGTATAGGTAAACTAGACTTAATGAAGAAGATGCTCAAAAAATTTCATCAAAAAATTCTACCGCAAACCGCCCCAAATGGCGACAGCCGCACAAAGCCTCCTGTAAAAGGGCTTATTTGCACTTTTTATGAAAGTTCGAGGGCTTATTTGATAGTTCTCCCAAAAAAAATCTTCTGTGTTTTTTTGCAATCTTTTGTGTAGTGAACATATATATATATATATATATATATATATATATATATATATATATATATCTGTGTGTGTGGGGGGGGGGGGGGGGACGGGGGGAGTAGTGTAGATATATATTCTTTGAACTTCTAAAATGTGTAAAAAATCTCGTTGTTTGGAAAAACTGTCAAATAGGTTCACCTATTTTTGACAAAAAGTCAATTTAATTCATGGTTTTTTTTCAAGTCAATTAGGGCCCTGAACTATCAAAACAAGACCAAATCAACTACTCCCTCCGTCACATTTTACTTAGCCAAACTTGACTTTTCAAGTCAATGACGTCTAACTTTGAACAATTATATGTATATAAAGAGAAAGTATTCATAATATAAAAATGATATGAAAATTTTCTTTGTTAAAAATATTATCATAAAAGTATAAAATTATTAAATTTTGCGTAAATATATTAGTTTAAATAATGGAATTTTATCGGTCTAGGACCGGAAAGTTATGTCTACTATCAATTTTGGACCTTGTTGAGAATATTTTAATGGTGTCCAATCTAATTAAATATCTTTGTATTTGTGTAGTTATTAATTAAACGTGTAATACGGGCCACAAATGTGTATCAGCCCGTTAGCTTCTTTGTAACCCGTAAGTTAGCCAACTTCTCCTATAAAAGGAGGCTAACTTACGGGAATCCTAACGTTTTGAGGCTTTAGAGAATAGAGGCGTAGAGATAGAGAGATTAGGGTTTGCCGTTGCTCTCCTTCTCCAGGGAGAGCAGCGGCCAGTTTACACGGTATACCAAATGTGTTGTTAATCTTGATATTTTTCTATCTGCTTCTTTATACCTGTTATGATTGTTTGATTGTTAAGTTTTGGGATTATCAGTTGGTATCAGAGCCGAGGCGTGAAACAGGTTGAATCTATCTGCGATTTTTTTGGATCTAACGAAGATCTGCTCTGCTTTTCTTCTCTTTTTCTTCAATATAGAGTTTTGCTCCTGTAATCTTGTTTGTGAACGAAAATCTGTAAAAATTATAATGTTGGAATCGCCTCTTCAAAATGATTCTACAGCATATCTTTGTTTTCGATTTCTGGAAATTTTCGAAGAACTCTACATGAAATGTAGAGTTTATGCTTTTTCATAGCTGCAGAAACGATTTTGACTTGAAACAGATACAGGAGGAATCTCGACCTTCAGGGCTATTCAGAACAGTTTTCAGATTCTCAAAATTCGAAGTTTTCATTTTGCAGGAACTCGACATTTGGGGTCTCGAATTCCTTAACTCGTCAGTTTTAAAATTGAGAGTTTTAAAACTCGAGAGTTTTAAGAATCAAGACTTTTAAACTCTCGAGTTTAAAACTCGAGAGTTTTAAAACTCGAGAGTTTAAAACTCGAGAGTTTTAAAATTGAGAGTTTTGAACTCGAGAGTTTTAAAATCGAGAGTTTTAAAATTGCGAGTTTTGTAATTTCGAGTTTTGGAATTTCGAGTTTTAGGAACTCGATGTTTAGGATTTCGACTTTCTGAAAGATTTCGAGACTTTTGAATTTCTCCATGTTTTGAATATTTCAAAGTTTGCAGTTTCTTGAAACTCAGAATTCTTCAAACTTGACATTCTTCGCAGTTCATCGAAGCTTTACATTATAGGATATCTGAATGAATCTCTGCTTATCAAAGTTTTTAGAAGTTTTCGATGTTCTGAAGTTTTTCAAACAACAAGTTTTCGATTTTCTGAGGTTTTCGAAACTCCAAAGTTTTCGATATTCCAAACATTTTGAAATTCTGAAGATTTCGATATTCTGAGGTTTGCTTTGTAGGTGGATTTCGCTATTACTCTTCAAGGCAAACTCGAAATTAAAATCTCGAGATTTAAACCTCGAGATTAGGATTTCTAGTTTTTGCCTTAGAATTGTGTTTAATTTCACCTGCTCTCGAAATTCAACATCGAGAACCTCAACCTCGAAGAATTTCCTCAAAAACTCAAAATTTTGTGATTTTGTGCGACACCACACTGTTTTGGCCATAACTTTTGACTCGTTGATCCGATTTTAGCAAACTTTTTTTGTTGGAAAACTAACGAAAAGATCTACATTTATTATCAGGCTTTGACCCAGAACTCTTTCTCACGCTCCCTCACTCGCAGTCCTTGAGGGTCAAAACGTTAGTTTTCCGACAAACTTTGTAAATCACCGATGTCCAGGTCAAAACTTAGGCAAATCTGATCAAATTCTTTCAAAGTCAAACCTGAGGTCTAAGCTCCACTGTAGAGGTCCGAAAATCGTAGATAATTCAATCAACCTCGCGTCAACGGTCATCTTACAACAATCAACAATCAACTACTGAAGCTTCCCCTAACTCATCAACATTGTGTGATCCTCAAACATGCTGAAATTCCAAATGATGAGCTTAGGGAAACCATCATGTGTGGTACCTGTTCAGATTGCTCCACACACATGGCGGGTATGACGAGCTGTGAGCAATCAATCCTTGCACATTCTGAGGGGGGGTTTCAGTTTTCTCCTCTCGACGTCTTACACTGACAAAGCAAGGAATCTCTCAACGGATGCAACATTCTAGGGGGAGTGTTCAATGTTATCCTCCCATGTGCCTAACAATGACAAAGCATACCGAGTGCTCCAGTTGAGGGGGAGTACAGAGAGAAAATCAATGAGAGAACGTGTTCCTATGGCTTAGTAAACCTAACTAAGCCTACCCAAGGGACAAAGCCAAGAGTAAGTGAGTGAGTGAGTGAGTGAGTAATCATTATGAGAGTTAGGAAGCAGAAGGCTCAAGTGAGAAGGAAAACAATAATCAATGATGAGTCTGCTACTTCAACTGTCTGCTATGTATTGAACATTTACTCATAGCCGCTCAAATACTCTAGACAATTTCCAAATAGGTTAAGGACTGATTTAATCAGATCCCGGGTAGAAGTCACTGCATCTTGTCCAACAGTGCATGTTTAACCCTACCCAAGACCACTCACTTGTCTCCCAACAGACAGGTGCTTCATCATATTTCACGGGGAACCGCATCTCTCATTACTGTCTCCTTCTGAGGCAAGTGATACTGACTACAGTGGCCTCACCCCCAAGCCACTGAACTTTCATTGATCACGTCGTGTCTAGTTACCTCACTCCCAAATGCTTTGAAATTTTCTAGGACACATACGCACTTTTAGAGTCAGTTGCAGGTTTTCATGACCTGCGAGAACTTCCATAGGGCTCATCTTTTACAGATGTAGACCAATAATTGGAAGGAAGTCCTGCTATTGCAACATAAGAATCGCCAACATTTTCAGGTCATTGCTTTAGAGTTTATCTCTATAGTGATGAAAACGGGTGTTTACACGACCCGGGGGGGCTACGTTATCATTTTACCATTCTGCTTGTTTTTCCTGTTTTTTTTTCGCAGAATAAAAGAATAAAGGCATGACGCCCCGAGTTATTGGATCGTCATGAGGGGGAGAGTAGTCCACATGTTGTTAACTGTCAAAATAAAAAAAAATCATTCTGGGACACTTCTCTCCTCCAACACTCTCTCTACTATCTCTGTAACTCAAATGGTCAGCTACGCTCACAAGTCAACCATCATTATGTTCCGCTGTACCACCGACAAGTTCTCCTCAAATGCATTGATTCCAAATAGTCAAAAAGACTACATTGTGGAGGAGAGAGAGGTCAAATACTCATGTACTGAAGATGAATCTCGTGCGCGCGCCCTATTCTTCAAAGAATATTCATTCTAGAGACGTCAACGGACTTCATCCAAGCTGATCAAGAGTAACTTCTGGAAGGCAAGGACTACATGCAAGATACTGAAGATCCCTCAACCCCCGACATCAAAGAACAAATTGCCAAGAAAACATCAAAGGGGAGATTCCAAGGTTTTCTTCATAAAGCCTTCTCTAGAAGTCAAGTTCAAAGACAAAGGAAGTTGAATAACAACAAAGACAAAGATATCTGTGCTGCAATGCTGATTCAACACGATTGAACACCAAGGGGGAGATTGTTGAGAATATTTTAATGGTGTCAAATCTAATTAAATATCTTTGTATTTGTGTAGTTATTAATTAAACGTGTAATACGGGCCACAAATGTGTATCAGCCCGTTAGCTTCTTTGTAACCCGTAAATTAGCCAACTTCTCCTATAAAAGGAGGCTAACTTACGAGAACTCTAACGTTTTGAGGCTTTAGAGAATAGAGGCGCAGAGATAGAGAGATTTGGGTTTGTCGCTGTTCTCCTTCTCCAGGATGAGCACCGGCCAGTTTACACGGTATATCAAAGGTGTTGTTAATCTTGATATCTTTCTATCTGCTTCTTTATACCCGTTATGATTGTTTGATTGTTAAGTTTTGGGATTATCAGACCTAAAAGATTATTTATATCAATAAGGGACCCAAAACATCCTAAACTATCAATTTTGGACTCAATAAATTAACGCCTTTAGTTTCTATCTAACGGAGAAATGATGTGGCGCCACATCATTTAAAAGATACTCCGTAATACAGAGCATACGATTGT